AGATTATACTGGTAAAGAATCTCTAATGTTGAAAGTGGTAAGAAGCTTGATATTTATCATGTTGGCTTGATAAATTGCCTACTTGTAGCAAAAAGTATCTGTTACTTGAAAATGCATTGCATGTGCCTAAAATTGAAAAGAACATGATTAGTATATCTAAACTTATTGCAAATAACAATGTTAGTATCTTATTTGATTATATTAGTTGTGTTGTTAAGGAAAAGGCAACGAGAAAGGTGTTGTTGCGAGGGAGACATAAAGATGGACTTTATCAAGTTGAGTTGAAGGATCAGCCAGTAAATGAAACTCAAAACCCTGTTCAAGTTTTTATTTCTAAATTTTTTTAAAAATCTTGTTTCGAGTCTATTGAGTCCTGACACAAATGTTTGGGTCATCCATCAAATAAAGTGTTATCAAATGCACTTGAGTCTTGTAATAAAACTTCTATAATGAATGGAAAAATGAGTTTTTGTGATGTTTGTCAACTTGGTAAATCACATTTGTTGCCTTTTACTATTTCATCTTCACATGCTTCACAACGATTAGAGCTTATACATTCAGATATATGAGGTTCTCCAACAGTTTTAATGTCAGGTCTCAAGTATTATATTCTATTTCTTGATGATTATAGTAGATATACCTGATTATATCCACTTAGGCAAAAATCTAATATTATCTAAACATTCATTAATTTCAAAACTTTTGTTGAAAACTAATTTGATAGAAAAATTAAGTGCCTGCAATCAGATATGGGAGGCGAATATATAGGTCTTACTAGTGTTCTTCAAAAGTATAAGATTAAAACTCAATATTCTTGTCCTTATACATCTGCTCGAAATGGAAGAGTAGAAAGAAAACATCGACATATGGTAGAAATAGGACTTACACTTCTTGCATAAGCCAAAGTTTCTTTGAAATATTGGCTAGAAGCCTTTCAAACTACTGTCTCTTTGATTAACATATTGTCTACACCTATCCTTGACAACTTGCGCGCACTTGAACAACTCTTCAATAAAAAACCGAACTAAATCTCTTGAAAATTTTTAGATGTACATGTTATCCGTGTTTGAGACCATACCAAGTACATAAATTTCAATATCACTCAGTTAAATGTATGTTTCTTGGTTACAATAACTCTCATAAAGGCTACGAATGTCTAAGATCAACTGGTAACATCTATATTTCTAGACATGTAGTTTTTAATGAGTCTGAATTCCCTTTTCACGGTAGCTTCCTAAACACAAGAGTCCCTGAATCTCAAACTTTAGTTATTCCACCAAATTGGTTTATCTTTCCATCTCATTCAACAAATCAAGCCCATTCTGTTAGCTCAACTGAAAAAGATCATCATAATGCTTATCAAATAACAACACATTCTCAAGCTGAGTCCAAAACTTCAGCACCAAATTGTCAAATTAGAAGACTATCATTTGAAGGGAGAGTCGAAGCATTAAATGCCTTGCAAGCTTATGAAAATTTTAGAGATTTGCAGCAACGACAATTAATTGATGCAGGTTCAAATACTAGTCTCGAATGTGATCTGCAACAAGAACGATTACAAGCAACAGAGCAATAACAAATCTTGCTACCTCAAGAAGAAGAAATTCAAAGTCATAAAATGATAACTAGATCAAAGGATGGAGTTTCTAAACTAAAGTAGTATTCATCTGATTTCCAGCTTTATGTTGCTGAATGTTTACCATTAAAAGAACCTACTACTTTTCCTGAAGCACTTCAAATAAAATGTTGGAAACAAGCAATGGAGGATGAAATAACAACACTCAAGAGAAACAACACCTGAACCTTTGTTCTATATGCTCCAACTATGAATATTGTTGGGAAAAAAAATGGGCTTTTTGAGTAAAGAACAATGTTGATGGAAGTTTTAGAGATGTAAAGCAAGACTTGTGGCAAAGGGGTTTCATCAAACTCTTGGCATAGACTTTGGAGAAACCTTTAGCCTGTTGTAAAAACATCTACGTTAGAATAATACTGACTATGGTAGCTTCAATGAATTGGAATGTGAGGCAACTGGACATAAATAATGTTTTCTTTAACAGAGAATTATATGAGTCCTTTTTCATGAATCAACTAGAAGGATTCAAGGATCAAAATAGTCCAAATCATATTTGCAAGATAAACAAGGCTCTCTATGGCTTGAAACAGGCGTTACGAGCATGGTTCAAAAAACTGAGATCTACATTACTTCATTGAGGTTTCAAAGGATCAAGATGTGATTCTTCACTCTTCTTCATGAAGAACAAGAACTAGATCATTTTTGTGCTTATTTACGTTGATGATATAATTGTGATAGGAAGTGATTCAAAGTTCTTGCAAGAATTTGTTCAAAATTTGGATAGATTATTTGCACTAAAGGATTTGGGGTCTCTGCATTTTTTTCTTAGAATTGAAGTTACAAGTGATAGATATGATTTTTATTTGACACAAACGAAATATGTTGAAAAATTACTTAGAAGAACAAAAATGGAGAATTAAAATCATGTCTTGCGCCAACAATTTTAGAGCTTCATTAACAGTTTCAGAAGGTGAACCTTTAGACAATCCCACTTAATACAGATGTATAATAAGAGTCTTGCAATATATCACTTACACAAGACAAGACCTTGCTTTTATCATCAATAAACTAAGCCAATTCTTACAAAAACCTACCAGCAAGCATATGCAGACTATTAAAAGAGTGTTGAGATATCTTAAAGGTACAATTAATCATGGATTGTATATTAAGCCTTGCAACAATCTCACACTCACAGGATAGTCAGATACAGATTGGACATGCAACAACGATGATAAGAGATCAACAACTGGTCATTGTGTATTCAATGGGACAAGTTTAGTATCATGGAGCTTAAAGAAACAACATGTGGTGTCAAGATCTAGTACATAACTGAAGTATCTTGCTTTGGCTCATGTTGCTTGTGAAATCACTTGGTTGAAATCCTTGTTAAAGGAATTACGTTTTCCACCATATAAAGTCCCTATTACCTAGTGTGACAATCAAAGTGCAATTTCATTGAGAAGCAATCCTGTTTTCCATTCTCGAACCAAATATATAGAGGTAGATGTTCATTTCATAAGAGATAAAGTCATTGAGAAGAGGCTGAAGATCAGATCTGTGCCGTCTGAAGAACAAATTGCAGACAGCTTTACAAAAGCTCTTTGGAACAAGATTTAGTTACTTAAAAGACAAACTTGGAGTTGAAGAAATACTCCTTACAATTCCAAGTTTGAAGGGGGATGTTAGAATACATACTACTGCAGAAAATTATGCACCAACAAATGCAGATCATAAACCAACAGTTGTAGGAAATTATATATTTACAGCTACAGAGCATCAAACATCAACAACTTTTCAGTCCCTTCTCACTGGCCAAGATTGTCATTCTACAAGTTCTTTATAACAAACTTTGTCATTATTTGCTTTCTCTCTTACAACACATGTTCATCTTTCATTAATACATGTATAATCTTAATCCATAACAAAAATTATAAATCTATCAATAGAATTGATTTCTCTAAACAAATATAACTGAGAGTTGTCCGGTAATATTTAACAAAGATTTATCTAATGATATATTAGTTGAAGGATCTATAAATTATGCTTTATTGTATACTCTTAAAGCGTTTTATGCTATTTAAACTTTAAAAAGTTTTTGAAAATTTTTATAACTTAGAGTCATAAAGAATAAGTGTACCGTGTACAATTTTAAATAAGAGAAAGAAGTGAGGAATCATTTTTTCTATTACGATCTTCCCACTTTAATTGTAATTTTTTATATATTTGATACAAGGATAAGGAAGTTTCAATAGAAAAATAAAGTATATGTGCTTTATTTTATAAATGAATTTTAAAAGATATACAAATATAAGAATGTGTATTGTACCCCTTGTTCACTGAAAAATTGATAAAAATAATATGTAACAAGATTTTTTCAAACCATTAATATATGTGTGTGTGTATATATATATAGTCTTTAAAATTAAACATATATCTGATTTTATTCCTTTGCTGAAAATCCAGTATTTTCACCAGACCTTATTCGTTACTTTGGTATTTTCAGTTTTTTTTTTTTTTTTATAATAATTTTTTTAACTTTTTTTTAATATTCTAATTTGGAGGAATGGATGACCGCATATTATACGTCATTCCCTCTTTTTCACAACGGTAATAACTCTACCGACTCGTCAGCGGAGTTTCAACGGCAAAAAACCGGTGACCGTCCTTCTGTTCCGGCGAAACTTCCGCTCTCGCTTTATTTGACATTTTTGTCTATTTTCCTCTAGTTTCTGTTCACCGGCTTTACTGTACACATGTCGATTTTTGGATTCTGCACATCCTGCAAAAGATTCCTTAGGACTACTGTGATCATCTCGCCATCTCCATTTTCTCTTCCATTCCCTAGGTTTTCTCTGCTAATTTTCCCTTCTCACCTTTGTTCATTGTCGAAGTGTAAAAGGTTTGTTAACAATCCTTAATCTCTCTCGGAAGTTTAGTCTCTTTTTATTGATTCGAAAAAATTACATATAAAATGGATAGGAGTTGGGATATGGTTGCATTCTGAGCATTTAGGCTTACTGAACGAGAAGTATTTTGTTTAGTTGGCAAGAAATATGGCATGCAGGGAATGTTGGGTTCTTCGGAGATTTTAGTATATTATTTGGGTTGCTAGGTAAATATGGGAAAGGAAAAGAAATATAAATTTCCAGCCTCAGGGTTTATAATCAATATGAGTTGACGGGAAAGTTTTGATTGAGAAAGAGAGAAATTTTATATAATTGCTATTTTGAATAAATTTTAATCGCTGTTGAGAACCTTTTTTTTTTTTTTTTTTTTCCTACTGATATTATCTTCTACTCTATTTGAGAGGGTAATAAATGCTGGTTTTTGTTTTTCTTTGGCTAAAGTAGGCATAAACTTCTGGAAAATGGCAAACCGGATGAAGGAAGATGAGAGAATTGAAAGGGCCATTCGTAGTCTCTTGAAACTTCCTGAGAATCGAAGATGTATCAACTGCAACTGTCTGGTATGGATTTCCTTTCTTATTTTTTCTATTATTTGCCTGATTTAGACGGGATACTATGGCAGCTTACAGCTCTGCAATGACAAGAATGGCTGAATATTTGTTTGTTCTATTTATATTTTCTTCCTATTTGACTGAGTGCTAAATTGTGGCACTTCCTAATTGCTTCATTTTCATATATCCCTTGTGGGAGATTGAAATATTTGCTTGTCACTGATGCTACCTCACATATTGCAAAATAGATTGCTTCAATTGTTGTTTGGAGCTCAAATGATTGGTGAGGAAACTGCAGTAAAGCTCTCGATATTAAGATGTTATGAACATTCTGACAGCATCTTTGAAACAATTCTAATGTTAGGCGGATACTGATTTGGGTTTGTGATTGACAGTTGAAGTCACACTTACTATTTATCATTTTTTATTTATTGCATTCTTTATGTTTGAATTTAATACATTTAATTCTCTTTGAGCTCTATCCTATGGGTGAAAGCTCATGGCTAGTTTTTGGACACTGGTCTCTAGGTGTTACATAGGAATTGGTAGGCATTAATCTTCTAATGTTTTGGAATATGGACACTATACTCCTCTTGTTGGTCTTTTTTTTTTTGTTTTCTCATTTGTTACTGTGCTTCTTCTAGTTGAATATGCGAGGAGGATGTCTTATTCTTCACATTTGTAACTTCTTTCTCTTCCTAATAATTCTTCTTTTTCTAAATAAAAAAAAAATCTCTTTGAGTTCTATTGGCTTAAAAACTTTATATGTCTATCTATTATTGCATATGAGCAAATGATCGAATTGGTTATAGGAGAAGGAAAATCATAAAATTATATCACCATGATGTTACCATGACAGTAGACCTTACATTCCTTTCTAACAGGGTCCACAGTATGTATGCACAACGTTCCTGACATTTGTTTGCACAAACTGTAGTGGAATCCAGTAAGTCTTGTAGAAAATCCCTTAACTTCTTTAAATTTCATTTCGTAGTTTTAGGTTCCATTACTGCACATGTAAATTAGACAGGTGACCAAAAATGAATGTTAAAGACTCTACATGAAATTGGTGGAGGTTGGAAGCTTGAGCCATATTCAGTCTAATACTAGATTTTCTTGTATAAGCAAAAGGCAATGAGTTGATTTTTTATGCGTTTCTAAACAATTACAGTCGAGAATTCACACATCGCGTGAAATCTGTATCAATGGCAAAGTTTACTGCAGAAGAAGTTAGTGCTCTTCAAGAAGGAGGGAATGAGGTCTGCACATGGATTGGCTAGTTGCTTCATAAATTTTGTGGTTTTATTTGTCTAACTTTGCTGTTATTTCATAGCAAGCAAGGAAAATTTATTTTAAGAAGTGGGATCCTCAGCGTAACTCTTATCCTGATGGCAGGTTATTAAGCACCGCTTCTATATTTATTTTTTATAAGCCAATTAGTAATTTATCGAGTTTACTTAGGATACACCATAGAGAAATGTCATCTAATTCAATTTTTTGATTGTTTGCTTCAGTAATCTCCATCGACTTCGAGATTTTATCAAACATGTATATGTGGACAAAAAGTACACTGGTGAGAGCAATGATAAGCTCCCAACTTTGAGGCTGGTAAACTATTAAAAATTTAACCACATTGAACACCTTAAATTGATTCAATTATTCTTCTTCTTGTCTGATCATGGCTGCTGTATATTTCCTTATGATATTAACAAACTTGGACACTAAGAAAATAAGAGTAACTCCACTGTCCAAGTTAGCAGCTGCATTTATTTACACTGTCTAGTTGGCTAGATTCTTGAGTTGCTTTTTGGAATTATAATGCTGCCATCTTTATTAACAATTCTTGTGCAGAATGACAGAGATGAGACGTATGGAAGCAAGAAGATCATCAATGCATATTCTCTCAGGTCTAGAAGTCCACATTATGAGGATAGGTACGAATGGTCTAATAATGAAAGAGTTGTTAATGCTGGAAGAGAAAGAAGAAGTCCACATTCTGCTCAAGAAAGTTCTAGATCTGGAAGCTCTCGGAAAACTACTCTCCGGTTTGAGGTTGTTGATGATAGGTTTCGAGATGATGGAAATGGCAGGAGATATGAAGGTCTTAACTTTGCAAATAGGGATTCCAAAATAGCCAGGTCAAATGATCCTAAGAAGAAAATGGAAAGGTCAAGCTCTGCAGTTACCTGCCCTGATATTTTAGGGGATTATCCTCCTCCTATGCAGGAGGGCAAGGTTCAGGTATGGTAATTACTATTTTTTTTTATCTAGAACAAGGGTACTCTCACTGTAGTTCTCTTGGGCTCTTCAGGTGTCTGTTGCTTGCGTGCAACATATACACGGGGACTTTCATTGTGATTAAACTTAGGAAGGAAGTTTATGATTTTAGTGATTTTTTCTGAAAGAAGTTTGTTATCAATCAGTAGCAAATACGTACATGTATGTGTTTATGTTTATGTTTAGGAGACAAAGTTATCAAGATAAGGTTTTGGTTTCAATGACAACATAGAATCAAATAGGATATAAAGTTATTAGGATAAGAATTTGGTTTCAATCAAATTATTGAAAGATTTGATCAGGCACGGATGCAGCACTCTCTTTAGATTTTACATAGAATGCAGCAACTCAAAGTGATGGGAAAGAGTAAAAGGCATGCTAGCATGCAATGATTGTGAAAGAATTGTCTGAATCTGTGAGGACAGAATCGAATGAAGAGAAAGATTCAGGGCTAGTTGAAAAGTGAAGGGAGGATGAAGGATAAGAAGAGTCGCTTAAATGGGTGGCAGTTTCAGTGGAGAAACTGAAGGCGATATCATTGGTGGTTGGGGCTGAGGGGATGGAATCATTGGCCCAAGAGGGAGAAGTTTATTTATGAATGGCAGATGGAGGAAGATGATGAGACTGATTCAAATATTAACAGTATCATTATTCGACTTTCTGGAGGTAGAGGAAGAAGTTGAATTCTGATATGGGCAGTGGAGAAATGGAAGCTGCAGAAGAGGAACCAGGTGTGGGTAAGGGTTTTGAGGAATGGGAGGGTTTACAATGTTTTGGGGAATTACCCTGACTTGGAGGAGCATGGAAGGTCTCCTAATGAGTGGCAACAAAGAGCTGTTGATAATAAGAACAAATGGCAAGCCAACGATCTATATCTGACTAGGGAGTTGAGCCTTCCAGGAGTCGCATTGGCAATCCATCCAGTTCTTTTAAAATAGTCAGTAACCCCTCTAAGGCCAAAAAAAATATTAACGTCAATTCCATGGTAAGCAATGAAGGTGGTAAAGAGTTTGTTGGCAATGGCATCCTAGCCGTTTGTGGTAACTATCAGGGAGACTCAACGACTTACGTGGCATAGACGGGAAGGTGCTGTTAAAGGACTTCCTTTTCTTGAAGTCTCTATTCAAAAATCTTGATACAGAAAATCTAAATGTCTTGCTGGGGGATCTGGATTTTACGCTAGAGGGGGAGTCGGGAAAGGAGGTGAGAGTATTGGTGTCTCCCAAGACATATATGTGGAGAAGGAAGAAGGTAGACCCAAAAATTAAGAGTTCAGTGACTAGGAGAAACATTGGGAGGGGAGGGACAAATGTAGTTGTCATAGATATAGTGAGCTAAATGTAATGAGTTGGGATGAAGGATAACGAAGAAAATATGGAATAATTTATAGGGCGAAC